CCTGTGCACGAGCCGGGCTGCGCCTTCCGCTCTAGATGGTGGTGCTTCTCTGTCACGGAAAGTGTCCCTGCTTCCTTAACACACGTGGGAGCCTGACTAGGTTACAGAGCAGTTCCACTTCGATGCAAGTGATGTTCTTATTTAAAAAAAAACCTGAATGAATGGTGTGTACTCTTAAGAAGGAGCTAGTTGTCACTAGGAAGCAGGACCTACTCATAAAGAGCACACTGTGTAAGTAAACTCAGTTCCTTGCAGCGACGGCGCTTGGTGTGTCGGGCAGCGCCGCTGTGGAAGCTGGAGAGTCTGGGCCATCATCTCTTGTGAACAAGTTACACAGAGAGAAGAATGTTGGCGAGACAATAGGTAGTGCATTGATGAGTCTTCTTACTGATTGAAATATACTTAGATTGTTGATAGATTTGTTATTTGGAGAGTGATCTTGTACCATGTTGCAGGCCATGTCCTTCTCAAAATTTTTATCCATGGCGATGAACTCAGAAGCAGTACTGAAATCTACACTTGGAGGCAATCACCAGTATGTTAAATGAAAGAATTAAGTTAAACAAATTTCTCTGCTGAGAAATTTGACCATATGAGTAAAATACAATTTAAATAAAGATAATGCTCTGAGCATTAAACAAACAAATTTTCGAAGATAGAATTGATGTCAGTAGATAGAAATTATAAGTGAGCTGATTTAAGATTAAACCGGAATGAATTTTGTCACAGTTTATGTAGCTGCCTAAAAATGTCCGGGCATTGGACAGTGTTTGTTCCAAGATGGGACGTTTTGGAAATGCTTGCCTGCCCTGGGTGGTGGGCTGTCTGCGGTAGACCCCTGAGGGAGCGTTTGTTGCTGGGTTAGGTTGACCAGGGTTCTCACCTCAGGCTTGCCGCTTGGTAACTTTGTGACCCTGGGTACGTTGCTTTACCTTAGTTTAGTCAAAGATGCATCCCGGTATTATCATAAGGATTAAATGAGAAAACACATGGAAAGTACCTGGCGTGTTTTCATGCATATAGTTAGTGTCCTACGGTTTCTTTTCTGTACTTCTAACTATTTTAACACGTGGAATCTCTGACTCTTCGATTCTACTCTCCATCCCCCAGATGGACATAGAACTGACCGGTAAGTCTTGCTGCCCAAACAGAAATAGCGAAGCATCGTGGAGGCTTAGACATGACTGAGAAATAGCCCACGGGCGTAAGCCTCATGGTATTGGTTTTTAGAAAAAACTGTGTTGGTCTGATTTGTAGACAAAGTCATATTAGAGGAGGTTACAGAGCGTCACAGTGTCCAGCAGTGATCTAACTGCGGTAGAGTCATGTGCGGAAGGACCAGAACAACACCCCGCATCCGCCGTATGGGGAGAAGCGTGGCCTGCTCTCCGGTGCAGTGCCGTGGATGTGTTCTTGGAGATGCTCAGAAATAACGGTAACCACGAAAAGATACCAAAACTCCTCGCACTGTTAAATTTCGAAAAATCAACTACTGTTAATCAATTATTGATTAACTCTGCTTCATTTTTTAAAAACAGATACATAATCTTACAAATGCATTGTCTTCCTTTGTGTAAGTTAGCTCCTTAATGAAACGCTGGATTCCAGTTAGTTTTCATGGTTTGGAAAGAAACTGAAAGGGGAAGATGAGCAAAGAAAAGTCATCATGTAAAGATGAGAAAACCAGGACATTTGATGTAGAAAAAGAAGATTCTCTCACTTGGTAATAAGTTACAGTTATGCGATGTTTGTTATGTATTTTTATTGTGGACAAGGAAGGAAGCTTAAACAAGGTCTCAGATGATTTAAGGTGAAAATGACAATGTAAGGATTAACAAGTAGACATGCAACCCCTAAAATCAGTAAGTCTTGCGCTTTCTTAAGATTTTTGAGAGCCGGGTGGAAACAGACCAGCGTGTTCCTTGAGCAGATTAAGTCTTATCTGAACATACAGGTCTGCACTACACAGTACATTGTAATTTTCTTGAAATAGTAATCTCTTCAGGCCAGTAAAATTTGAAATGTGAGTGTAAAATGACTGCAAATGGAAGAAATTGTACTCTACCCAAGGAAATCTAGTGTGTCTTGGCAGGTCATCCTCCATGAAAATTATTTCATTGAGTTACAGTGAGTATAGAAAATACAATGTGGTAACTTTTTGCATAATATTGAGTTGATAATTTAAAGGCAGTATTGGTACTCTGTGAGATTTGGGGGGGTTTCTGTAAGTGACAGACATCGCAGAAAATAGAACAGCCATCTAACTCCTCGGGTTAAAAGAGTGGAGTAATTTAAATATGAACGTTGAGATTAGCAGCACTAACTTCTGACTTGCAGATTTTCTCCCAAGTGTCAAAGACTTGGCGCACGCCTGCCTGGGTTTTCCGAGGCCCCCCGTGAGGCCGTCCGCAGGCTAGTTGTGACCCCCGTCCCAGCGCCTCCCTCCATGGCCCCGGTCCGCTCTCGTGGAGGCTGGCTGCTCTCCGGGAGTTTGTACAGTTCATTCTCAGGCTTAGCTGCTCTTCCGCGGGATCAGACTTCGTGTCTCTTGCCCCCGCCCCATAGTCTTTTCTGTTTCATGCCCTCATTTCGCTGCTTCCCGAAAATACTATGGAGGAGGTAGGTTTCTGAGTCCTAGAATGACTGAAATGCTGTTGGTCTGCCCCCACGCTTGATGGATAGTTTCTCTCGACCAGTAATTCCAGGTTGCGAAGGCTTTATGCTCTGCACTTTGAAGGCATTATCATCTGACTTCCCAGAATTGCTGTTGAGAGAGATGTTCAGTGACGTTTTGGATTTGACGTCTTTGTCTGTGATCCGTTTTGTCTCTTTGGAAATTCTTAGGTGCTTTTCCATCCCCTGTTCTGGAATTACACTGTGATTCTCTGACTTGGCTCATTTATTTTACAGTTAAGCCAGTGGCCCTTTCAATGTGGAGACTCGTGTCTAAAGTTCCAGGATTTTCCAGTAATTTTTGAAAAGAAATTTTCATTTCTTTTTCCCCCTCTTTTCTTTTTCTTTTTTTTCCCTAGAACTACTGTTAGTCAGCTCCATGACAGTTGAGACTGATGCCCTGGTATTTTAATATTTGCTTTCTTATTATCTGCCAGTTTTTCTCTTTATTCTAGTTCCTAGGAGATATTCTTGATTTAGTTTCTACCCTTTCTATTGGTTTTAATTTTTTTCAGCTTTTATATGTTGAATTTCTAAGAACTCTTTCTCCTTGTCTAATAATTTATTTTTTCACTTCTTTCTGCTTTTTTCGAGTTCATGTTGTTTAAGAGCATCCGGTTCTTTATGCAGCTCCTAAGGATGTTAATGATCATTTTTGAAGCTCTCATCTGATGTTTGTATTGTCTTCGTTTTCTTGGAACTCTTTTTATGTTTGTATTGATGTCTGTATTTCCTCAAATATCTGGTGGTCGGACCGTTGGTTTGTATCTAAGACAGAGGTACGAAACTGAATGAGAAACATGTTATGTGCAGTGGTGGGCTTCACAACAAGAAAAGAGGACATTTGCAGTGTTTATTTCCTTTGAGAGATTCCCAAGTCGGTGTTTCAGGATCCTGTGGGGCCAATCTATTGGTTAAGGGTCAGCTTCCCTCCTGCTGGCCCTCAGCTTTCGGTTTTCTCTCATCTGCTAAGTCGGTCATTCTCTGTTTGCTTACCACCTTTACGAAAACATTCGCCTGCCTTGTTTTCTGTTGCCTTTTTCTCCGTTTCTCTTGCCCTCATACATTTATGCCCTTTTTATTCATTTACTGTCATTTTAGTGACATATCTAAAGGGCACAGAGATAAATGCATGTAGTCAATATGCTCGATTTAATGAGAAGTTGGTAGATATTTTAAAATACGACAGGCACCTTTCATGTCATTGCTTACGATGGTACTGATCACTTTACAGCACTCTATGAACTTCTTCTGAGTAAAGATGCTGTAGGTTACCTATCTGTTCTATGACTTTAGGTAACTCCTGATTAAAAAAGTGTCCTTAGCAGTCACTAACAATCAGATGTTGTGAAAAAAATGCAGAAAGAATGCTGCTTTTCTAAGCTCTATTCATTGATTTTTAAAAGTTTTCATTCTGCTTTTGGTACCTGTACTCTTGTCAGTATATAATTTTGTAGGAAAAGTATCACACTATTTTCTCTTAAAAAGTAATCTGTTGTTGTAAATCTCTGAAGAAAAAAATGAGTATTTGTTAATTGATAATTAACTACACTGGTGTGTTTTGTGATTTACTATTCTTATATATGAAAAGTATACATTTTAATAAACAAAAATTTTGGATAGATTTAAATATACTAATACCTTAATTTGTTGACAAGTGTATTATGTACAGTTGATTATTAGATTTAGTATTTTGCTTTCATAAAAAATTAATTATATTTGTGTCTAGCAAAATGAATCTTAAATTATATTTGTTTTTGATATTTAAATACTATTCACAGTATTTACGATTTTTGAAACAGACTTTCTTACTGGTGTTGATCCTTATTTTGAAATTTCCTGTCCTACCTAAAGATCAGTTTCTGAAGAACTGATTATTTAATAAGCACATAATTCTATTTTTATATGCTCAATTCAGTAATATTTTAAAAAGAAGTTATATCTTTGTTTTAAAAGCTTCTTAAAATTAGTTTTATATTCTCTTTTATTCCAGCAGTTGGCTTTTATTCTGTGAGTGCCTTTGGTACACTCGTGCTGTGCCTGCCACGCGAGGGGAGTCATTTTAGCTACTTAGGTACTTCCATACAAGTGCGTGATGAATACACTCTGTAATAGAACTTTGGACTCTGATTATTTGTGAAAACAAATGATAGATGAAATGTAAAATTTTACTGTAACAGTAAAGAGAACATGAGTTCAGTTCTTTTTGCCCTCCAAGACCAAGCTGTTTGAAATAATATGAATTTAATGTTTATGTGGCCATCTTGTTTCTTGATTCCAAATGATATATATATACATTTTTTAAGTTGTGATTTTTTTTTTTACAGTTACCTGCCATGGTTTGAAGTGTATTACAAGCTTCTAAATACTCTGGCAGATTACTTGGCTAAGGAACTGGTAAGCAATGTTTTTTCCTCCATTTTTTAAATTGTGGTAAAATACATGTAACATAAAATTTACCATTTTAACAATCTTTAAATGTATAATTCTGCCATTAAGTACATTGGCAATATTCTGCAGTCATCAGCACCATCATCTTTAGAACCTTCTTACCTCCCTCCCGCATTGAAACTATTCTCAGTAAATAGTAACTTCCCATTCCCCTCCCCCGAGCCCTGGCCACAACCAGCGGGCTGCTTTCTTCTGTCTGTGTGAACTTGACTGTGTACTTATGTAAGTAGAATGGTACAGTATTTATCCTTCTGTGACTGGCATGTTTTCAGGGTCCATCTGTGTCATAGTGTGTGCTAGAATTTCCTTCCTTTTTGAGGCCGAATAATATTCCAGTATTCACACACCATGTTTTGTTTATTCATTCATATGTGGATGAGCATTGCTGCTGTGAACATGGGTATACAAATACCTGTTTGAGTCCCTGCGTTCAGTTCTTTTGAGTATATACCCAGAAGCAGAATTGCTGAATAATATGGTAATTACATGTTTAATTTTTTGAAGACCTGCTATAACATCTTCCATAATGGTTGCCTCATTTGACGCTCCCACCAGCAGTGCACAGGGTCCCATTTCCCCACGGTCTCCCCAACACTTTGTTATTTTCTGATTTAGTTTTGTTCTGTTTCCAAAATTGTCATTCTAATGGGTGTGAAGTGGTATATGATTGTGATTTTGATTTGTGTTTCCCTAAGGATTAGTGAGGTACAGTCTCCTGTGCTTTTTGGTCACTGTATGTCTTCTTTGGAGAAATATTTATTCAAGTCTTTTATCACTTTAAGTTACGTTTTCTTGTTGAGTAGTAGGAGCTATTTATATATTCAGATATGAATCCTTTATCAGATGTGTGATTTACAAATATTTTCTCCCATTCTGTGGGTTGCCTTTTTGACATTGTTGGTAGTGTCCTTTGATGCACAAAAATTTTTAACTTTGATAGAGGTTAATTTATCTATATTTTCTTTTGTTGCTTTGTGCTTTTGGTATAATGTCAATACATTATTTTCAAATCCAGTGTCATGAAGCTTCTTTTTCCTTTTAAGAATTTTATAGTTTTAGCTGTTACATTTATCTTTACATTTTCATCCTTTTTTCTTAAAAATAAAAACAAAACAAAAACTGAAGTTTGCTTTGAATTAATGAACTCCTCTGGCTCATAATTTCTAAAATTTCCCCTGAATCATTCTTTGATATTTTAAACAAGGATTAATTTACTAAGATTTTAGCTATGCTGTTTGATGCAGTTTAGTACAAATAAAAGTTTTCAAAAAAATCTTTAATGATTGCCTATTGCTAGTTCTAATTTTCAGTTTCATGGTGTATTTTATGACCACTGGCCGTCTATTTAAATTCTTGTTTGATGCTGCCTCACTCCTGCGGTCGTGTTTTGCTTGGTTGTCCTGACAGTGTGTGTTTGTTTGTAGCTCTAGCCTGTCTGTAAGCTTTCCCCTGTCTGCAACCTAAAATTGTGGTGCTCTTGTGTTATAGTCTTAGTTTTCTCTTCTCTTCTCTCTAGACGTTATTTATGGGCACTTCTTACACATTCTTAGTACCACCATGTTCTGATCCCCAAGAATGATCTTTCTGAAACTTCACTGCTTGCAGTCCGGTCAGTGGCTCCTTTTCTCCTGAGAACAGAGTCTGAACTGAGCTCAGCCCGACCCAAGAGAGCCTCCAGGATCCGGCACCGGTGCTCCTGCCTGGGTGCTCTTCTCCTGCCTTCCCGCGTCCTGTGCACGCCTATCATTCTGAGCTACTTAAGCTTCCCAGGAAGTAAAGAGCTCTGCAGAGCTGTCTTCCGGGATTTCAGATCGCTCACTCATGATTACCGCTAGGTCACTCATCTGTTAAGATTGCGTGTAGATGTCTTTAAAAACAAACCTAAATTCAATACAAATACCACCCTAGACACCTTTCATTAGACAATTTAAGTGTATTATTAACAAATAAAGGTGCTTCTTTTACTCTTCTAGTGCACATTCTCCTAATTTGGCAACCAAATTTTATTATTTGAACATACCAAGTTTTAGTGTTTGTCAAAGTCCAGGGTGTGTGTGTGTGTGTGTGTGTGTGTGTGTGTAAATATTTCCCGCTCTACACTTGATGTGCCCAGCTCTGTGAACTATTCATTAGAAAGTCATTTTATACTTGAACAACTTTATGTTTAAGCTACTCAATCATTCATTTTCCTAAGAAAATAACTGGAAATAACAATATTAATTACTGCATGGAACACTCAAAACCAGAATTCTACTTAACGATAATTTCTTAGTCTTTGTTTTTTTGAGTAAATATGTGGAACCAATGTTAATTGTGTTAGTTGTCCAAATTTTGAATACTTTCACCTTTAGAAACTCCTGTTGGTAACTTAATACCTGTGTGTTTATTATATGTCATATGCTCCCTGAGACCACCAGTGACACTGGGATATAGAAAAGAAAGTACTATGAACAAATCGATATAGTTTTGGTTTTCTGCGAAGAGGATACAAGAGAGGCTACATTTGTGTCCCTAATTAGAAGAAACGAATATTATTAGAAGTTCACAATATTAATTGAATAACCGGAAGTAAATCTGTGACTGTGATCATTTTTCTTTTCGTTTTTAATGCAGTGCTGCTGGTTATTTACGTTGGAATTTTGATTTTATGACCAGTTACCCTTAACGCAATCAGCATCAGGCAACTACAAAGCTAGGCTTATGCAGACTTACTTAGCCACAAGCATTTCGTAGAGACAGAACATCAGTACCATCTGAAATATTAAGTGGTGTATGTCGTTGCTTAAATGGTCAGGTGATAAATGCTTTAGAGTCCTTTTTAGGTCATTCTAAAGAGAACTTCAGATAGGCAGTTTTGAATACATACTTTTGCAAGCATTTATAGAGATCTGAATTATTAAGTTTTGATAATTAAGTTATAAGAGAAATTGTGAGATCATGTGCCTTAAAATTAATTACTACCGTCCTTGAACAATTGCCTTTTGCCTTTGGTTTATTCTTTCAACGTCAACATTTTAAAAGAGAATAAAAATAATTATGTATATAAAAAGCTACCTTCATATATTTATTGTTGGATTTGTGTGTGTAATTCAGAAAAAGTAAGTGCACATCAAGGTGCATTATTGTTGTGCAGATCCTATGAAGTAGGTGTGTCACGTATTTAACCTCATTTATCATGGGGCAAGTAGTGATCAGGAGCTACTTAGAAAAGGAGGATTTAGAATAACCTCTAAGTTACGTCTTTTGTGTGTGTGTGTGGCGGGGGGCAATTGGGTTTGTTTATTTATTTATTTTTAATGGAGGTCTTGGGGATTGAACCCAGGACCTCGTGCACACTAGGCACTCGCTCTACCACTAAGCTACACCCTCCCCCTAAGTTGCATCTTAGTATAACTTAACTTCATTGTGTCTGTTACTTAAAAATTAGGTTTATGATTTTAAAATGAAAATGAAAATGGAAGCATTTCTGATAAAAATTTGCATTTCCATCTTTATTCAGTCCTGTTACTTTTGGCTTTAACGACGGAACGGCTTCCCTCTGTGGGAGGCGTTGGTGCACAGGTGCGCCTCCGTGTTCTGCGCTGCACTTCATTGTGCTTCAAAGATGATGCATTTCCCCCTCAAGCTGAAGGTTTGTGGCAGCCTCGTATCAAGCAAGTTTGTTGGCCGTGTTTTCCCAACAGCATGTGCTTGCTTTGTGCCTCTGGTCACATTCTGGCAATTCTCACAGTATTCCGCACTTTAGCCGCTACCATGTTTGTCGCGGTGATCTGTGGTCAGCCACGTTTGATGTTACTGCTGTGATTGCATTGGGATGCCATGACCCCAACCCACAGAAGACCAAGAACTTAGTCCGTAAGGGCTGTATGTTTTCTGACGGCTCCTCCCTGACACACACAATACTGAAATTAGGCTGGTTAATAAACCTACCACAGCCTCTCAGTGTTCAGGTGCGAGGAAGAGTCGCATGTCCCTCACCGTAAGTCAAAAGCTAGGAACGATGAAGCTTGACAGGGAGGCCATGCTGAAAGCTAGGCCACCAAACTGTCAGGTTGTGGAGGCAAAGGAAAAGTTTTTGAAGCAAATTAAAAGTGAACCGACTGATAAGAAAGCAGAACAGCCTTATTGCTGATACGGAGAAAGCGGTAGTGTCTGGATGGAAGATCAGACCACACACAACATTCTTTTAAGTCAGAGCTTCACTGAGAGCAGGGATGAACTCACTTCAGTTTTGTGAAGGGTGGGGCAAGTGAGGAAGCCAAGCCTGAGGCCAGCAGAGGTTGACTCCAGCCCTCATGGATGGCGTTGAGGTGAGGGATTCACGACCTCCGTGGAGGAAGTCATTGCAGATGTGGTGGAAACAGCAAGAGAACTGGAATGAGACGTGGAGCCTGAAGATGGGACTGGACTGCTTCACTCTCAGGATGGAACATGGAGGGGCGAGGAGCTGCGTCTTCTGGATGAGCAGAGAAAGTGGCTTCTGAGATGGAATCCACTCCCGGTGAAGATTCTGTGAAGATTGATGAAATGACAACAAAGGATTTAGAATATTACATAAACTTAGTTGATGTATTTCAAGAAATTGCCACAACCACCCCAGCCTTCAGCCGCCACCACCCTGATCAGTCAGCGGCACCATCATGGAGGCGGGATCCTCCACCAGCAAAACGGTTAAAACTCAATAAGGGCTCAGATGACGCTTCACATTTTTAAGCAATAAAGTATTTTTAATTAAGGTATGATTTTTTTTTAGACATAATGGTATTGCACATTAATAGATGACAGTATGGTATAAATATAACTTACGTGCACTAGGAAACCAGCAAATCCATGAGACTCATTTTATTGCTGTATTCACTTAATTGAGGTGGTCTGGAACCAACCCTGCCGTCTCTCCAAGGTCTGCCCGTGGGTAAGACGTGCCTAACATGAGAAGTTTTAATTGTATTTACTTAGTTCATATTTCATTTATAAAATGTGCTTTTTTTTTTATTCTAGGAAAATGATTTGAATGAAACTCTCAAATCGCTCTATAACCACCCGGTACCAAAGGCAAACACCCCTGTCAGTTTGAGTGTGGTAAGTATTCTGTCAGTAATGGATGTTTTGAGTCATAGCAGTTTCTCATTTAAGAACACATGCACCTTCCAGAAACTCTGCTGAGTCACCTCTGCCTCCAGGAAGGCTCTCCGGCTAGGACTGACGTCCCTGGATGGTGCTGTTGTCTGGTGTGCTTTCCTGTCAGAACATGATGCATTAGATGTGTGTTTTTGGTATTTGTTAAATCGTAGATTTTTTTTTTTAATCATACACTTTACCTTTGGTAAAGGTAACTAATTCTGTGGGAATATTTTCAGGAAATACGGAAGTACACACCCGCCCCCACACATACACAATACCAAAGACCCCACATAAAATGAAAACAGTATATAATAAGTACTGCAGAGATAGCATGCAGCATATAACCAGCCACATGATAAGAGTTCCAGGCGACAATCTCCTTCTTTCCCCATGCTTCAATGCATCTTTTAGTATAATCACCAAACACTGGAAATGTGATTGAAGTTTGTCCAGGCGGTAAGCCTGTGGTTGTATAGATTATTTACCATTAAAACTTTAACTGAACTGTGCCATCTATAACTAAAATCACAGTAGTGTTTGGTGAGATTTTCTAAGTGTTCAGAATAAGTCATCATAAAATGTAAATGTTTTCATTAATTTTCTTCATTAATTTGGCATACCAAGTAGAATGCTAAAATTTATGTATGTTGATTTTGGTTCTTCCAAAATAATAATAAAACTGTCCTAAGTAAGGAAGACGATGTATAATGATGCTAGAGAAATTGAAGGAAAAAGTAACTTGAAATCTATGTAATAGTATTAATAGGTCTTTTGTGTTTTTTGTAAAATAAGGAAATTGTTAGCCCAATTATATTCTTTCTTTGGCAATAACTTTCTTCTTGCTTAAATGTCCCACTGTAATTTTGTGTAATAATAGTGTCTCTCACATGATTCTGCTCTATTTGTGGTGTCAGCACCCAGTCCAGGTGCTCAGCTCTGGAATCCTTAGCCTGGAGTCTCTCCTTCCAGTCCTTTCTATAAAAGGCTGTCTGATTAAACTTCCTTACAGTATGTAAAATTCCCTGATGGAAACCGTTAATAGCTCTCCATTTTCTGTAGAATTTGTCCAAACTTTTGGCCAGGCTTTCAGCCTCAGTCCAACTTTTCATTTTCCTGTCTCCCATTTTTCCCCTAAATTGATTCTCTGCTCTGGTCACCCTGCTCTGTTCATCTCCTTGAGTGAACGTGTGCACCTCAGTGGTGCACCTCCCTGTGTTCCCACAGCCCCTTGGTAGACGGCCTGTCTGTGGTCTAGAGCCAGCGTGGTCCCCAGCGTTGTGAAGCACTCTCTTGTCGCGGCAGCGTGGAGTGTTCTCTTCCCATGGTCTCTGCACCTTTGTGTCTGCCTCCTCTTTTGTTGCTTAACGCCAAAGTGGAAGTGGTTAGTAGTCATTTAGAGGTTGAGGGATGGAAATCTAAGGATAACCTGGAATTTTTAACCCAAATATGGGAGTCATCTGCAGAGTAGTGCAAGAATAATTGAGCTGTTCAAAGGGCGGATGTCAGGTGGACAGTGCAGAGGCTAAGGTCTAACTGCCCAGACGGGTTGCATGGAAGGGAGGGCAGGTGGAGGGAAGGACTGGAGGAAGGAGCAGTTAAGAGAAACTCAGATCTGCGGTCATTGAAACCCAAAGAACGCAGGTTTTTGGTCAGTGCGAATGCAGTGGACAGGACAAAGAGGAACTCCCAGGAGGAGTATTTATAAAGTGATTCTAACCCTGTCTTAAAGGGTTAAGGAAATATCTGCAGATGTTCAGGTAATAGAGACAGCTATTGTAGAGTGTTAGTGAGAAATAGAAGTGTGTCCTCTCTTTCAATTTGACTGTCATTAGTTTAGGCGTAAATAAGTATCTTCCAAAAATACATCTCAGAAATATTAGATATTGAAACTTTATTAATAAGAACCATTAAATCAAAGACTTCTAGGCCTCTGAACACCTAAAGACTAGATTTTGGTTTATATCGCGGTCACTGAACGTGTGATGTGAGGCAAAGAAGTTAACCTGTTTTGATGACTCCTTTTCTCCATTTGAGAAATTGAGTGAGTCAGTTTTTGAGGAAGCTGTTTGGGGGAGGTGCATGAAATGATACATTGAGATGTACCATGAAAAGCTGCTTGCAAGTTGGTTGTTAGTGAATTGAAGTTTCATTTAGTATGGAGAAGATTTTGATTGTATCTGAAATATTCCTGGTAACGGAATTTGAGTGCCTGTTTCTGTGTATGACAGTTATTTTTATAAATTAAGCCTCACATGCAGGCTTTTGAATCAGCAGTCTGTGATGGGTTTCAAACACTGTTCACCTGTTCTCAATACAGTATCTTAAGTATTGGTAAATTCAGCTGGTTAATACACCTTTGTAAAGTCCACTTAGTAATTTCGTTTGACTTCAACAGCAGGTTACTAAAGTCATGCGCCTGAGCTGTGCCATTCATGGATGGCAAAATTGGGATAAAAATATCTGTCTTCCATTACTAGCAGAGGTTCTAGTTTTATGATGCCAGATTAGAATGGATGATCACAGGAATTTTTGTTCCTCCACAAGTAGAAAAGAAGTTTTTGCAGAATTTCCATTAGTCAAGTATGACAAGTCTTTAGAAACTGCTGTGATTTTCTTACAATTTCGTATTTCAGGAATGTTCTATCTTGTGAATTTTTCAAGACTTGACTTTATAACCACTAGAATATCACAGAGATTTTATGCAAAGTTAGTATCTAATGCAAATACTTATTTTGAAACTATATTTCAAAATCATTAAATATCCACAGAATTCTCTACTCTCAGTCAAGAATGAAAGTACTTCAAGATTTTTCTAGCATAAAATCAGCAAATCGGCATTTACAACGACATTTATAATTAGTGCTTTTCAAATCTTTTCAGTGGATAGTGTTGACTGCATGGGTTTGTCTCAGATACACAGCACATTGGTGTGTTAACTTCTCCCATGAAAGTAAATATTCATTTTTTCTCTCATGTATTGTAAGAACCAAGAGATATTTATTGCCAGTGAGCAAGTTCTGAAAGATCAGCCCTCCCTGGCAGCGGTGAGTTAAAAGGGCATTGGCTTCTGAAAATCACTATTAAATTGGGAAAATAATTACTTCTTTCACTACATCTTTACGATTCACTCTAAGATTCAAGTCCTTTGGGAAATGGGAAATGCCTCTTTTAAGAAAATTAATCATTTGTCTTATGTTCTCTGTTTATACTATCTTTTAAAGCATAGCTTTATGAATGCAGTGCTATTAAAAGCCCCTCCACATAAAAGCAGCTGACAGAGACTGAATCCCTGCATTTCCTCACGGTCACTGGCGTTGGCGTCAGGGTGCGCCCACCGCGTGGGGTTTCTGCCATGGTTTCTGTCACAGGGCTTCTCTCATACTGTTCTCCTCTGGAAAATTACACACTAGGACTGTGTTAACTAACCTTATTCTGACTAGTTCAACCTTGCTCAGTATTGCCTAGAATGCTTTTTCCCCCCAGTCTTTAATTATAAGACAATATTAAATATATCCTTATGTAAGATAGTAAAATAATTTTGGAGATTAATGTGAATAGAAAATAAAATAATTTTGGTGATTGAGTTGTACTCTTATTCTGTGGGGTAAAGTCTGGGGACATTATGTGAAACAAAGGCGTGAATGATGTGCTTTTTATATAAATATGTCTATGAACTGTTGTGTTGCTTTGAATATTGTAGAAGCCAATTAATGTTTGTTCAGTAGGTGTATGAAAGTCATATTTTGGGATGAGTAATTACATTTCATGAAGTTTTTTGAATATTTAAAATTATTTTTTATTGCTGCTTTCTAAATAATACAGTGTCTGACAAGTACAAGAGAAATTTGTGGCGATTTGCCAGAAAGACCCAGAAATCTTAATCAGTTTTGATATATTCTTGGCTAAACAAGTCTTATTTTTCCAGCCTCCCTAAAGTAGCAGTATTAAAATTATCTATCTATCTATCTATCTATCTAACTTTCAGTAATATACCTTGTCTTAATAAACTTTTCCCAGGATTCTTACTTCAATTTTAAAATGAAATATTTTAAACTAACTCTTAACTCTTTGTATGAGAAAATTATTGTTAAATCTCATACAAATCTGCTATCTCATTTTAAGAATCTCTCAAATTCAACAAATCTTGTCAGTCCTTGGTATTTATTAACTTAAGTGATGTATTTAAAATTTTTTATCTCAAATTATATGTAATGCTACCAGATTTTAATTCTTCTTTTCTTACGTGATTTATTTCTGTTGATCGGCAGCCCTACTTCATTGCCCCTGATAGAACTGGACTCCCAACGATACCCGAGAGTGTAAGTTTTCGATGTTTTTTATTCTACTGATTTTTTGAGTTTTATTTATCTTGATCTAAGGATTTCTTTATGGAGAAGTAGAATATGTTGTAACTATCTCTGTTTGTTGAGAAATAGTGAAAAAATAAGGAATAGTGTGTCATCTCTTTTCTTATGTGTCTGCTACTTTACTTCCTTCTTAATATCTGGTTGTTGATAAGGAAAATTATATGAGAAAAACTATTTTTACCATTGGAGATAGTTCAGCAGAGTTGTAGGTATTCAGTTAGGTCCCAAGCTGCCCAGATCAGGTAGACGAGATGTCTCAGGGGATGGCTGCTGGTGGGGTGTGAATGCAGTGGGAAATGTTTTCACACAGTTACTCTAGGGAACTGACCGTAGTGTTTTAGATTTCTTGTATCTCTCTTGAGATCTCAGATGTCCTGAACCTGTGGATTTCCTGATTTTAAGTAACACATGTTTTATAAGGTGTGGGTACTGCAAGAGATTATAAAATTGCTACGTTTGCATTTTATTTAGAGTCCTGATTGTGGCTTTACTGGAAGTATTTTCAGTAAGAAAATTAATAACAATAACAGTAACAAATTAATATTCTATAGAAAAGCTTACGTGGGTATGTGAAATTGACAAATATGCTTTTGGATGCTGTGTGAAAAGGAAGTACTCCCTTTCGTAATATTTTTCTGCTTCTCTTGGAAAGATAAAATGAATCAGTAGAAATAATTCAATCAAAAGTGAAGGAAACATCCACAGGAGAAAAATGCTTGAGAAATATTTATTATTTCCCTCAGAACTCTACTGTTCTTCCACAAATGCTTTTAAAACTACTGGCTGTTTGGTTTCCAGAAGCACGTGGGTTATGAGTGGATGAGGTCCTAGAAGGCAGTTGTAAATTTCCTAATGTCAAACCCAGACTGGCAGTGGTCATTTTAGTACAGTCTGTCCAGATAACTCATTTGAATTAGACGACATTAAGCGGTTCCTAACATGGGCCTGCAATAGACCATCAAAACGCGCAGGTCCTCTGTGCCGTCTGCGGGCCCGTGCCCTGTTAGGCCTCCTGGGGGCTGACTGACTGAGATCTGACTTACACCACCCTGTCCCTCCATCCACTTCAGGGCTGTTAATACAAGTCAGAGTCACTCCCTTCTGCTGTCTCTGCTATTGGCCTTTCTTAAATTTAGTAATAAACAGCTAAGAGCTTGATTTAACAAACCTCACAATTTTTAAGGCCTATGACTTTGATAGTTTTAAAGAACCATTCTAAGGAAAAACTGCCACTGAGAATACACATTTTTACATCTCCATTAAGATATTTTAATTCTAAAAAGTTCTGTTTAGGAAAGAGGAGAAAAAAAAAAAACAAGGACCTATACATGAGGCAGCGTTGTGTGTTGAGAAAGAATTTCCCATTTAGAAATTATCTTTCTTTGAGATTATAGGAAAAGCATTAATGCTGAATGCCGTAAACAGAGTTTTGCATTACAGAGGGTTGAAATGGAAGGTGGGAGAGGCTTCGCACAGAGAGAACAGGAAACGAACCTCCCCACCAGATTTAGCATCTCTCACCGGTAGTGCCAGGTTCTGTTTATACACCCTGCTGTGACTGCGTTTTTTTCTGGTAGAGTTTCCACCTTACAGAAATCGAAGAAACAATTGGATTTCTGATTTTCTTACCCAACTGGACGTTTTTGCCTTCTGCACCACAGTCCACCCGACACTACAGACTCAGTTTGTCACGTGTGTCTCTCTGTCACTTCGTTGCTTTCTGATGTGCTTAAGTTGAGCACAGAAGCTCACAAATAAGTAAGAAGGAGAGGATCTAGACGTGGACGTTGATGTGCTCACCCCAAGTTTGTCCTTATGTGAGGGAAATAATTTAAAGTGTTAAAGCAAGAAATCAAATTAAACTAACACCAGATTTTATTTGGTTATGGGGGTATAAAGCCAGCCTGACGTGGGGTAGAAGCAAGAGGTTTTCCCTGATAAAGAACCAGAGGCCTGCTTTATGGACCCGTCTCCTCCTGTGGGTGCCTTGCACGCGGGATGCGCAGTGACTGGCAGACAGAGAGACTCAGGTGTGGCTTCTGGAGCCGCAGCTCTCAGAGTTCAGTGTGTGTGAGAATCACTGTCGTGTCTGTTTAGAGAACAGGTGTCCGGGACTGTGGTGTGAAGATGACACTGGGAGCCAGGAAGCTGTCTCCTTTTACGGACGCCTGGGGAGGGAGGTGGGAAGATGTGATCCTCTGATTCCCCTCACTGAGATCACGCTCCCACGGTCGGTCTGGGTCTCAGTAATAATGGCGGGGGCGGCACTGCCTTCCGAGATGCTGACGAACGCCACTTTCAGCACTGACCTCCTTGGGCCTGTAAGATGTTTTGGTAAACGTATAAAGTACTTCCCCTCACAGTCCCCCGAACTGACACGGTGGTTTTTGCTCGCGCAGAGAAACCTGACGGAGTACTTCGTGGCGGTGGACGTGAACAACATGCTGCAGCTGTACGCCAGCATGCTGCACGAGAGGCGCGTCCTGGTCACCGCCAGCAAGCTGAGCACCGTACGTACTTCACCCCCCGCCCCGCCCCCCCAGAGGACGCGCCCAGCACCGAGTGCAGACCGCGGGCCTCCGTGGGCCGGGCCTGCTCACTGTGCCCCCACGACAGTGGCTCCGCGCCTTCTGCGTCTGGTCTTGCTCCGGCTCTTCAGGTGCAGAAGTGTGATTTACAAAAGCCCTCGTAGGTGCATTAAGTCAGGTTAATTATTTTTTCTTATTGGAAGATGAGGGGATTTTTTTCTTTCTAATTCTCGAGTTCATTTTAGTGCCTTGTACCATGTAAAGAATTCTTAAGAGCTATTATGAGATCTTTATTATTCACTTGTGGCTTTTTCCATTGGAGCTACTTGAAAGAAATCAAGGGGCCGTGATAATGGCTTCTATCCCAACCTGGTAATGGGCAGATTCATCTCTGCTGCCAAGTAGTGGTTTGGGAGCAGATTCTATAATAGTTCTGATCTGGAGGAGCTCTTCAGGCTGATAATAACTTAAAAGTCAAAATAGCATTTTTTTTTTTAATCACAGGTTTTAAGCGACTCACTAAAATGTTCTTTCGGGAAGTCTTCCTTACTGTGGTAAAGGCAGGGAGAATAGAAGGAGTTTTCTTGGGTCATAGAAAAATATTCAAAAGCATTTTGCTAGATTTCCTAATTTTTTTCTAATTGAGACTTAAAAATTTTAAATCCCTATGTAAATGTAGCTTTGAGTAATGAATGAGATATTTATTAAAAAAACATAATGTTTCATGAACTAGCTTCCTTACAAATTTGGCTAGTTGATAAACATAAGATAATATTTTTGTGTTTTGTTCTCCTAGTGTAGAAATAAAAACCGTATTCTGTAAAGTTTTAGTGTTTAGAGTAGAACGAATTTCAGAGTTCCTCTAGGACACCTGTTTGGCACTTAACAGTGAGAAAGGGGATTTCAGACACAGTGCAGTATTGATATGCTCACTCTTCCAAGAAAATTGAAATTATATTATTTTGCATATCGCAAAACACATAATGTACACTTGAAGGAGCTGATGTGGAGAAATGCTGCAGGTCTGTCAGAGGAGAAGGGCCAGCCAGCGGCACAGGTAGTTGCCTGCGTTTTCTTAAAGCAGTGTTAAGAAGCTCAACCTGAGTTGCTTGGTGCTTTTTATATGTTTGCTTTTCTGCTATTTGTCACTTACCATCGAGGTGAGACTGTTCATGTTCATCCTCCTCTCTCCCTCCTCATTTGTAAGCATGATTTTTTCAGGATTTTAAGGAGTATTTCTATACAGATACTGTCTGAAGGATGAAAAAGATTGTGCAGACTGTCTTGGGGGCCTAGGAACTAAATTCCTATCCAGATTAATTCATGTAGCAGAAGTTTATCATGCACTTACTATGGGCTCGGCACTGAGGGTTCAGTCGTCAGCAAAGCCCAAAAAGCACTCTTAGAGCTTGTATCCAACTAATGCAGCAGATGAAGAAAAGAGTAAATAAATCGGTGTTATGCTGAGTACCACAGGACAAGGGAGAAGGCGAGTGTGTGGGAGATAAACGGTGAGGGCCAGGTTTCAGTTTTGTGCAGGGTGGTCAAGGAAGGCCTCTCCAGGGAGGCAGTGTTTCAGCAGAGGTCTGAAGAGGGGGTGGGAGTGAGCTGTATGAATGAGTGTGTAAGCTGGTCTGTGTAGGAATGCGTTAGAAATAAACCTGATAGAAGACAGTATGGAGGTTCCTCAAGAAACTAAAAATAGAACTACCATACGATCCAGTAATGCCACTGCTGGGTATTTATCTGAAGAAAATGAAAACACTAATTCAAAAAGATATATGCACCCCTATGTTCACTACTGCATTGTCCACAATAACCAGGATATGGAAGCAGCCTGAGTGTCCATCAATAGAAGAATGGATAAAGGCGATGTGAGATATATAATATATATATATGAAATGGGATATTATTCAGCCATAAAAAAGAATGAGATTTTGCCATTTGCAACAACATGGATGGCCTGGAAGGTATTATGCTTAATGAAATAAGTCAACAGAGACAAATACTTTATAATCTCTGTATGATACTGTGGAATCTAAAAAACAAAATAGAAAAACAAACAGATTCATAGATACAGAAGACAAACAGGTGATTGCTAGAGGTAAGAGGGGTGGGGGGATGGGCAAAAGAGGTGAGGGGATTAAGAGGTCCAAACTTCTGTTATAAAATGAGTAAGCCACAGGAATGTAACATACATCATAGGGAATATAGTCAATAATACAATAACTTTGTGTGGTGACAGATGGTGGCTGGACTTAATAGTGACAATCATTCTGTAACGTATAAAAATCCCAAATCACTATGTTGTACACCAGAAACGAATGAAATATTTTGGTTGGTTATACTTCAGTTAAAAAAAGAAAGAAATCTTAGTATATAAATATTTTGTGAAGTTTTTTTCATAAATATTGTGAAGCATTAGTGTTCCTCTGTTGTAATTTATAAACACCTCTTCATGGCTGGGTAACCTTTCTTCCACTTCGTTTCTTTACATGTAAACTGGGAGCATGGGAGCAATAGTGGTCTTAATCTCATAGAGATGCTTTAAAGATTAAGAATATATATGGTAGTCAGTATCTGCAAGTCTTGAACTCACAAGTTATCCCTCCCAAGCCCCCTTCCCCCCGTTAACCGTAAGTTTGTTTTCTGTGAGTCTGTTTCTGTTTTGTGAATAAGTTCATTTTTTTCTTTTTCTTTCTTTCTTTGCTTCTTTCTTTCTTTCTTTCATTCTTTCTTTTTCTTTCTTTCTTTTATTTCTTTTCTTTCTTTCTTTTCTTTCTTTCTTTCTTTCTTTCTTTCTTTCTTTCTTTCTTTCTTTCTTTCTTTCTTTCTTTCTTTCTTTCTTTCTAGATTCCACATATAAGTGGTATCATATGGTGTTTTTCTTTCTCTCTCTGGCTTACTTCACTTAGAATTGGGAGTTCAAGATTTGCAGATACTAACTACTATATATAAAATAGATAAACAGCAGGTTTCTACTGTGTAGCACAGGCAACTATATGCAATATCTTGTAGTAACCTATAATGAAAAAGTATATATGTGTGTACATGTGTGACTGAAACATGATGCTGTACACCAGAAACTGACACATTGGAAATTGACTAGACTTCAGTAAAAAAGTTAAAGAATATGTATATACACACAGGTATATATGAAGTGCTTAGGATTTTATCCACATAAGAGTAAATGATTTTTAGCTATAATTTTATAATAGACTAGATCTGTAGCTTAGAGTAAAAATGGACATGCCTATCCTTTAACTTTATTTGAATTAAAAAATAAATTATTTCAATAAAGCCTTGGTACTGCTCAGGGAGTTGTTTCCTATGTTTGAGGTAAACTTAATGCCAGTTGCTTAATGATAGTTCATGAAAACTTGATGGTGATGTCACTTCTCAGTTAACAGCTTCATTTTGGCTCACTCTCTGGGGCGGCAAGACTGATAACAGAAACATAATTCAAGTTTGCTTTCATGAGCTCCTCATCCTTCTTATGTGGGGGAAGCTGCTTTACTTGAATCTATCTCAAAAGATACATGTGTGTACAGGCTGTAAATTCCATGCATAGTAACGTTTAAGGTCAAAGACTAGTACCACAACATAAGTTAGAAATAAACTATTTTTAGAAAGAGTTTAGTGAAATCTCTGAAACGTCCAGGGAAAGAAGAGTTGAAGTATCAGTGAACTGAGGTTTACACTACTATCAATGAAGCTTTTTACATTCTTATTTTATATACTATAAAGACTATAATGTACTTAGTATTAATGCAAGAAATTGTGTTTTACCCACTTTTTATTTTTCAAATCTATGGCCAAAGTTTTAATTATTGAAAGAAGATGTATAAGTTATCTTCACATTCATAATTTTATTATGGTTTTAGGAATTTTGTTTGGGTTTGCTCTTTGACATTGGTAATTTTATTAGAATCGTATTAGTCAACCTTGTTTATAGCCTGCTGGGTCTTAGTGATGGCGCACTGGTAGAGTCAGCTAACTTGAGGGTCACTTTCTTTAGATGATGTCTGTAGTTAAAACTATAATTCAAAATTATCTTTATAGAGATGAGCTTTAAAAAAATTAGTATTCAGATACATTAGCAAAAATAACAAGTATTGTTATATTTTTAAAATTTTAATGGATTTTTCCTCCTTATGTTAAAATGTGGTATTTTGTTAGGACCCACTGTTACACTTGTATGTGTTTTGAGTTTAATGAATCAGGGCATCATCAGTTTTGTGTTCCTTCTGTTGATGTGTACATCGTCAGGTACACGCGGTAGGGTTCCTGGTGGTCCGGCACAAGGACACTGATTCTGTATGTGCGCAGGCAGGCCCTAGGTGTTCAAGCCCCGAGCGAATCTCAGGTCAACCAGCAGAACACCATACCAGAGCTTCGTGCATTCAAAGCAAAGGAATAAATCATGATGTTACAAGGGTGTATCAGTTGACTTATTGCTGTTTTGTGACCAGAGGTAGGGAAGGAGTGCTGTTTAAAGTCATGTCATCCGCTCTCAAAGCAGTCAGGCTTGAAGCCTTGTCATGTGCCTCTGTGATCATCCCTCCCAGACGTCCTCTAACTAGTCAGCTGGGGCCGTGCGTTTCGTCTCCGACACTGGCCGGCCGGCATCTGACAGGAGCTCCCGTCACCATGCCCGCGATTTGTTAACCAGAGTGTGTCTCTGTGGCCCGTGGAAGCAGGTACAAGGGATGCTGTTCTCCGGAGCAGACGTCTAAGTGTTGGCTCCCATTTTGAGCACTAATAGTAAATATCACCCTCTGAGAGTCTGTGAGCACGTCAGGTACAGAGATCTGGTTGTGTGGTCCATGTTCCTTCTGGAATACTTAGATCAGCAATGTGCACGGAGTGCCGGAATTGTGTTAAAAAATTGTTACAGTTGCCCCCAAGCATGTATGCATTTCCATCTCTCCTTAATTCCATCCAGGGCACGTGCAAAAGGAAATCTTGTGATCCCTGGAAAA